GAAGAAGTGAGGTTTTTACTCACGAAAGCTTATGCCCAAATAAATCTGTTAGTCTTTAAGGTGCCACCAGACTCCTTGTTGTTTTTGTAGATACAGACTAACACGGCTACCCCCTGATACTTGAAACTGAACTATGGGATTTTCTGATGTGGGACTCCCTCAGTCTCTCCTGTTGAAGCTGTTGCCATATGGATAAATAATTTAAGAGTGAGTGGAGCCAGGGGACTGGGCTGAGATCTCCCCCTCTCAGGTGGGTGCCCTAATGGCATTTCATTCTCTCTTTGGTCTGTCACTGAGAGAGAGAGAAGAGAGTTATTCCCACTCTGTAGCATGGAGCAATAACAGGGTCCATGCTGATGTAAAGGGTTAGCCTAGGATGCCCTGGCACACTACATGTGTACAACTGGCAGCAGGCAGCCAGTACTTGGTATGATGTGTGTGGGAGGGAGCACAGGGTTTGTATAGAGCAGTGGTTCTCAACCAGGGGTACAGAGGCCCGTGGGGGTACACCGAGGTCTTCTGAGGATACATCAATTCATTTAGATACTTGCCTAGTTTTACAACAGGCTACATAAACATTAACGAAGTCAGTACAAACTAAAATTTCATACAATAATTTGTTTATACTGATCTATGTACTGTACACTGAAATGTAAGTACAAAGTATTCCAATTAATTTATTTTATAATTATATGGTAAAATGAGAAAGTAAGCAATTTTTCAGTATTAGTGTGGTATGACACTTTTGTATTTTTATGTCTGAGTTTGTAAGCAGGTAGTTTTTAAGTGAGGTGAAACTTGGGGGGACGCAAGACAAATCAGACTCCTGAAAGGGATACAGTAACCTAGAAAGGTTGTGAACCACTGGTATAGAGGGAGTGAGAGCACACTGCCTGCGGGAGGGGCTTAGCAAGATCCTCTGATTAGGGTAGGAGTAACACTGCATACATGCATGCAGAGGCTGGGGGAAAGCACTTTGTGCAAGTGGCTAAGGTAAACTACAGACTCTCAAGCAATATGTGTGTGTATTACTGGGGATGCTCCTGTTTTAATATTTGGGGTGAATGGCAGAGAGTCACTGTTTTTCTTGGTAGCCTTTCTTGGCAATTCTCTGGGAAGGGATCTGGGTGGGCCCGATCCCTTTTAATTAGATTATTGCCTTGCAGGCAAGGGCAGAGAGGGTCCCTGTGGGATTGATAAGAAATAGGTCTCTTTCTGAAACTTCGAGTCATTGTCTTGGCAACAACTCTGCTGGTGTCAAGCTTTTACCCAGGCCTGAGTCCAGCTGTATCTCATGCAGCTGAACAGCTGTTCCAACCAGATCTTCACATTAAATGGTAATCTCATCTACACTGTAACTATAGATTGAGCTCCACTTTGTTCTTTGATGCAGCTATTGCATGTCTTAAAAATCACAGAAGGCCTAATATTGGATTTCTCTCACCTGTAGTATTAGGTGAGCAGATGTGTCCTGAGTGACATGTATCATCTTACCTGCCCTAATACCAGGTTTCAGAGTAGCAGCCATGTTAGTCTGAATCCGCAAAAAGAATAGGAGTACTTGTGGCACCTTAGAGATTAACAAATTTATTTGAGCATAAGCTTTTGTGGGCTACATCTGATGAAGTGGGCCGTAGCCCACGATAGCGTATGCTCATATAAATTTGTTAGTCTCTAAGGTGCCACGAGTACTCCTGTTCTTTTTGCCCTAATACCAGTGACTTTTTTTCTCTTTTTGCTAAGACTGTTACAGTCCTCAGAGAAAAGGAATAGAATGGAAAAATCTTGGAATATGGGAGAAGATGAGAAGTGGAGAGTGCTACTAATAATGGAAATTAATCAGAGAACTACTGTCTTGATATGAAATCAATAGAATGGTGCTATCAAGCAGAGAGAGCTGCAGGTGGTGCTCAGTTTGCATAACAAATGCATGTTCCGGAGCACTATTCCTGCCTAGTCCCTGCTGGTTGGCCTGAAGGAAAAAATAATGGCCTTGAAATCCATAAAAAAATGGCTTCTGAGTTTCCTATCTACAACTTTCCCTCAAACACAAGGCCCTGCGCTCTATGAATGAAGTTTACGGGGTTGGTAGCCAAGAAGAAGAAAACCCTTAAAATGTGTAACATCCATCTGACATTTGAAAGATTTGCAGAGGCAGAAAAATGATGCACCCAGTGAGACCTCAGTGGAAGTGCTGAATCACACAGCTTGTCTGCCTTTTATTTAGTAGCAGTTTCTTTACTACTTACGCAACCTTTGTTGAGAATTTATGCATTCGGATATTTTATATTATAACAGTATATTGGAATAAAATATTTATTGTACAATGGCTCTGTGTATTTAATGGAGGCATCTGATGCTTCAGGTCATACTGAATTCTGGAGCACTTTGATTACTGGTTATGCAGCTAAATCTCATCAACAAATATTAAAGATTAATTTTTTACTATAAGGATTTCAAAATTAAAAACAGCATGCAATTATTTGCCTCAAAAGTATTTTATAGGGCTAAGCTTTTTTTAAAAAAAATCAGTCTCCCTTCAGTGGGAACGAAAAAGTTTTAAAATAAAGGTTCATATCTCTAAATTTGAGTGGCATCTGCCTATCTTGGGTCACATGATTGGAGCACTGCGCAGATACAAAATTTGTATCCGCATCCAATCCACGATCCACAAATATGGTCTGTGGCTACAAAGCGGATATGTGCAGATTTGCAGGGCTCTAGATATAAAATTTGGATCTGCATCTGTCAGGGTTCTTCCCCCTCCCCCCCCTGAACTCTGGGGTACAGATGTGGGGACCCACATGAAAGATCCCCGAAGCTTATATTTTACCAGCGTATGTTAAAACTTCTCTAAAGCACTAATTTCTTAGACTGATATTACTGCCACCAACATGTGATTTACACAAAATATTCAGGGAAGGATCACTTGGAATCCCTATCTCCCTA